CTGTCTCACTTCTGGTCACAATAGGCAAGCTGCCATATGCCTCTTGCTCGCTTGGGCGAAATTGTATACTATAGTCAGTAATCAGTAGTTACCACGTTTTGAACTCTAGGTTGAGCTGTTGAGGTACTTCTACCTTTAAGTTTAAGTCTAGAAGTTGGAGTTGTATTATACGTTGATTTGGTTAAGAAACATGGTTTGGAAATTTTATGGGTAGGCCAAATTACAAAGGAGACTCTGCCGAAATTTACATTTGCATTATTCAATAATATTGCATTTTAATTTCAATTATATTAGCGTTAGCATATTACTTTATACCTAGGAAAACAGGTACTACAAACATATACAAGGGAATTATTATATTATAATTAAAAAAAAAAATTCACCTCATTTGCGTCACTCATTAAACAAACAAGTGACGCAAATACAGCAGTTTTGTATTGTCTACTCAGTCATTTGCGTCACTCCTATATAAACAAGTGACGCAAATAACAAAAAATAAGTTTATTGGAAGAGTCATTTGCGTCGCTTGTTTATAAAGGAGCGACGCAAATAACAAAAAAAGTTTATCTGAAGAGTCATTTGCGTCGCTTGTTTATAAAGGGACGACGCAAATGACTAAAAATAAGTTTATCAGAAAAATCATTTGCGTCGCTCTTTTATAAAAGAGTGACGCAAATAACCAAAAATAAGTTTATCTGAAGAGTTATTTGCGTCGCTCTTTTATAAAAGAGTGACGCAAATAACAAAAAATAAGTTTGTCAGAAGAGTCATTTGCGTCGCTTATTTATAAAGGAGCGACGCAAATGACAAAAAATAAGTTTATCAAAAAAGTCATTTGCGTCACGAGCAGTTGCGTCGCTCATAGAAGCGACGCAAATACACTATAAATGAGCGACGCAAATGAGCCTTTTTCTACTAGTGGGTGGAATTTTCAAAGGTGAAAAGTTGTAAGAGTATTTTAATGGAGGAATTTATATTTTTCTCCTTCCTTTACTTTTTACTTTACCTTTATCCATCATGTCATCCACTTTTATTTTCAACTATAACTATTATTGTACTCCCCGCGTTTTTAAATATTTGGTCTATTTCTCCATGTGCGGAGTTTTTGGAGAATTTGAAGAAAATAATAAAATATGGAGTTAGTAGGGTAGTAGAAAGAATAAAAAATTGTAAAAAGCAAAAGTAGTTGAGAGAATTGGAGGAGAGAGAATATGAAATTAATAAAATATGATTTATGTTGTTGGGTTCACTAGGTGAGAAAAATGAATTAAATATAAAAAGCTTTCCAAATAAGGAAATGGAACAAGAATTTAAAAATGGCCGAAAAAGGAAAGTGGAGTTAAAGTGAAAGAAAATGCATGTTATAGAATTATAAAGAACATTGTATAGAAATGTTAAAAAAACATTTAGTTAAAGTGAAAAGAACATGCATGTTATAGAATTGTAAAGAACATTATATATATAGAAATATAAAAAAACATTCTGTTAAAGTGAAAATAACATATTATAGAATGGTAAAAAACATAACATGTTGTTAAATAATATTCTTTATCTTTATGTTCTTTAATTGTCAGTATAATGTACTTTTACATAATGTTAATTGTTTATTTTGAAATGTTCTTTGAATTTTGTCTATAGATTATGGTGGTTGAATAAAAATAATGTTCATTATATTATGTTATATTATTATCATTAGAGGTGATCAAAAATTTGGGTCGAACCGGGTTTTAACATAATATCTCATGCCCAAACCCAGAAAATGTAGCAAGCTTTTCGGGCTTTTTTCGGGCCGAGTTTGAATTTTTAATTAAAAATGCATTTTTAGGCTTGTCCAAACCCACCCTATTTTCGGGCCTGATCGAGCCGAGCTGAAGTTGATCACCTCGAATTATAATGTTCTTTATTAATATTACGGATGTTCTTTAGATATATATAATGAACATAAATTTGGAATTTTTTTTACAAAATATCTATATGTTTTTTACAAAAAAAAAAAAAAAAACTATATATGTTTATTACAATACAACTATATATGATATTCTTTATAAAACAGGTAAATGTTCTTTAAAAAATAAATGTATTTCTTTACTAAACAACTAAATGTTCATTCCGCCTATTTTCGGGAAAAAAAAAAGGATGCACAAAGCATCGTACACCCGCCCCATAGAAAAAGTTTCACTTTTCGTAAAAAAATTCACTTTCTGTAAAAAAAATTATATTTTATTAAAATGTTTTATGTCAAATTAAAACGGAGTCTTAAAGTCTAAACTTAAAGATGGTGTTAATCTTCCCATATGCATACGAGTTCATCAAATTTTCCATCATGACATTTATTTAGGCAAAAAACGAAATCATTAGCTCGTGGCTCCGTGCAGTTTTTTTTTTTTCGGAGGCTTAGTGATTTTGGAAAGAAGCAATTTGCTATACCTGTTGTTCCATTCTAGTGGAAAATGACGCAACGATGACAAAATAACAAATTGCTAAATTGAAAATATGTGTTGAAAATCTATAAAATACTCCCTTTTCCTTTTGTTTCTTAATTTTTTTGTCTACTTATAATGCTTTGACTTGTATGACATTTTTATGCGATTGAGTTGAATTTATTATACTGTGTAATTGGAATTTATTATACTATGCGATCGAGTTAAATACCGACCGTTTTTCCTATTTTTAGCAACCGTCTCTGACGGTCGCAGTTTACCCGAATTTCAGTAGTGAAATTTGATATGCATTGTAAAATATATATATATATATATATATATATATATATATATATATAAAGCATTTTTTTTAATAAATAAAATAAATAATAAAATAAAAGCGCATCATTTTTTTTATAATTTAATTAGTGTGATATGATTTTTAAAGTATAATAGGGCGACTAATGTGCACGTTTTGTAGCTATTTTACTTTCATTCACTAGTAGAATAAACGTGATGGGAAGCGGTTCAAACCCCCTAATGGGAAGCGGTTCTGAACCGCATGCCATTGGGGGGGCTTGCCATTAGCCTTTTAAATGGCAAGCGGTTCTGAACCGCTTGTCATTTGTAGTGAAAGGGCAGCGGTTTTGGCGCCAAACCGCTGCCCATTATGGGTATAAAAAATAATTTAATTTTTTTTAGTTTTTCCAATTAAATTGAAATACAAACATAATAAATGCAAAAACATTAATATTTTTATTAATTAATTGTTGTAATATTACATTTTCATTAAAAAAAAATAATTCAAGCATATTACAAGTTACAACTGATGCTGCTCTTGTTCACCAGCCGTGCACATACTACCAGCCGCGCGCACCTCCAGCCGCACGCGACTGCCACCACCAACCACCTTAACCTGTATCACCACCACCACCATATCCCGATTAACCGTATCTGCCAAACAATAAATTGAAAAAATAAACAGCAATAAGTAACTTAATTTTAGATCTTTTGTGTAAAAAAAAATCAGATTTTAAATTATAAACAACAAAATTTTAAAGCTAAAAACTCAAACCAGACCCCAACCCACCACGACGTCCACCCACGACCACCACCCACCCACGACCCTAACCCAAACCAGACCCCCACCCACGACCCTAACCCAAACCAGACCCCCACCCACGACCCTAACACAAACCAGACCCCAACCCACCCATAACCCTAATCCAAACCAGACCCCACCCACCACGACCTCCACCCACGACCACCACCCACCACGACCTCCACCCACGACCCTAACCCAAATCAAATTAAAATCAAAAATAAAACTAAAATCGAAATAAAAATTAAAAAAACCATCAATCTAACCCGATTTTGGCTTCAAATTATGGTTTTAAAGGTCAAATTCGACTATAAAAACTCTAGATCTAGAGTTTTCATGGTCGAATTTGACCTAAAAAACTTATACACCCACATGCATGCACGAATTTGCTCGAAATTGTTCAAAATTGTTCGAAATTTGGTTTAAATTATCCTCGAAATTAGCTTGAAAATACCCAATTATGTTCAAATTTGATGAGATGAGAAAGAACAAAGAAAAGAGAAAATGAAAGTAGAAAGGGCGAATTAGAGGGAAGAGGAGAGAGAGGGAAAACGAGAGTAGAAAATGAAAGAAGAAAGGGGCGAAATGAAAGAGGAGAGAGAGAGCAGCCGAAATGAAAGAGGAGAGAGAGAGAGTCGGGGTAAGGAAGAGGAGAAGAGAAATAAAAGAGGAGGGGTAAGCGCGTTTTAGGGTTTTTTTTTTTTTAATTGGCAAGCGGTTTGGGGTTGAACCGCTTGCCAATATATCTAATGGCAAGCGGTTCAACCCCTATATATTGGCAAGTGGTTCGCTCCAAAACCGCTTGCCATTTTATATTACAGGTTTAAAAAAAAAAAGGGTGAATGGCAAGCGGATTTTTAAAACCGCTTGCCTTTTGGGGCTTCCCATCACTTATTTTCTACTAGTGATTGCTTAATCGATCAGCTCAAGCATTACAACAATAACTCCACAAATTACATAAACCCGAGCTCACTGATTTTTGAGATATAAAATCAAACCAAGACAAGCAAACCAGACCACTATTTTCACATTCAATGTTAAATCATTTTAACTCTACCTATTTTATCAGACCTTCGATCATACATTAGCTTACCAACTTTTAAGTATCAAACCTAAAAAGTTCATTCGAAAATTGAAAACGAGAATAAAAAAATAGCTTGGGCATATCAATTTTGAAACGCTAAACCGTTCAGCAGATGTATGTAAATATATTGAGTTTATAACTATCTTGCTTTTATTAATAAGGAAAAAAAAGCGAAAATAGATACTTCAAATTAATTTCTCTATAAAATTTTCTTCATCTTATGAATTTAGCTTCACTCACTTTAGAAACAGAAAACTAGCAGCTATGAACAACCTTTGACATGATCTTGTTGTCTTAGCTGGATAATATAGGGAACCGATCCAATAAGGCGATAACTAAACTTCTCTTTGAGTTGCTTAACATAGCATATGCTGGATATATATTGTACATGCTTGATACTGCCGGACCTGGAAAATCAATTAGTTTATCAAAGTTTATTTTTCCCACAATCAGAAAATAATATATACTATGTATTATTTAATGATCTTTAATTTTATACATTTTGCCTTTGAATACATTGCACGAAGTAATAAATTGACAGTTAAACCAAAAAACTTACTCTGAATCAATTTTTTGCCTATGCCTCAGATTAGTCATAACGATCATTGGGGGAACAATACCTAACCCCGGGGAAGGAAAAGGATAATGACAAGTCACTAATGAAACTACCAAAAAAATTTCGAACAATGACTTTAATAATGTACCAGTTTGAGAACTAAGTAGGTAGTGGTAGATATATGTAAAAAGGAAAAAAAAAAAAAAAACATTGTCCTTAGGAGTCATATACCCATAACCTTTGGCAAATTTTACAATGTCTCCCACCATTACAACACCAAGCATTTACTTGTATAATTGCATTGTTAAAGTTTATATATTATATCTTCTTAATGCAAGAAAAAAGGAAGGAAAGTAGCTTCCCCTAGGAGCCGAACAAGTAACTTTAGTCTAAAAATATGAAGCCTCCACCATTGGACTACAAAGTACATATCATTACTAGTTGCAATATTTAATATTTAAACCTTCTCTGTTTTTGTGCTAGGTCTCGTGACCTACCGTGCACAAGGGTGGCTCCGCCACTGCACGGTATCCATCCTTTTTATGCTAACAAGGCAACAACTGTGCACAAACTCTGTTAGATTAAGAGATCAAGGCATCATCAAGCCCGACTAGTACCACCCTTTTATTTTAGATTTTAAAAAATATATATATATATCCTACACTAAACTATACCTAATTTAAAAATTAAACAAAAAAAAAGTTGTTATCAAGACACAATGAATACTTTGTAATTTAATAGCATGCTTAACCGTCTATACAATACATGTATCTATTGATGATGCGTAACTCTTTAAGTAATTTATCCTTTGTCCCCAGTAGTTCGTTGATGGCATCTTTGATTGTTATCCGATATAGAGATGACTGTACTGAACATTTTAATCCAACCTTAACGACAGATTTTATACACTTGATATAACAGTCAGTACTTGCCAAAGTTTCATCTTGATTCCCATTTCTTGCGTCTAGAAGTCGTGGATCAATTATCTTGGACAACTGATCCGTCAATAATGCTGATTTTGCATACTTATGAAGGTCTAAGTCTCCGCCAAACATCCTATCCGTGGGAGTTTTTGCAGTCATCATCTCTAGCAACACAATGCCGTAACTGTAAATGTCACCTTCCTCGGATACTATGCTTCCTAGGCCATATTCTATCCAAAACAGGACATTTAAGAGGTGAGCAAATTGGGTATTGATAAGTAAAATATACGAAAATAATTTCTTATTTCAAGAAAAATAAATAAATAATAGTGTGGAGTTACCTGGAGCAACATATCCAACAGTCCCTCTAACTGCAAGTGAACTACTATAACTTACACGCGCATGTAAATGAAATCTTGCTAAGCCAAAGTCCCCAACATGAGCAACCATATCATTGTCGAGCAAAATGTTGCTTGGTTTCAGGTCGCAATGAATTATAGGAATGTCACAATAGTTGTGCAAATAATCAAGTGCACATGCTACATCAATTGCGATATTTACTCTTTGAATGAGGTTTAAGGTTCTCTCGTATTTACCAATGTGAATCCACTGTTGAAGATTACCATTTGGCATGAACTCATAAACCAACGCCTTGAAATCGTTACCTTTAAAGTCCATACTCGAGCAAGCAGTAACAACCTTAAGAAGGTTCCTATGACGACTCATTCTTAATGCCTCACATTCTGCCATGAAGCTCTTGGTCGCTCCTTTCAGATCAAGGCTAAAGATTTTAACCGCGACAACCATGTTCTTTTTGTCCAGATCAAGAACTCCTTTATAAACAGAACCAAAATGGCCTACACCCACTAAATTTTCATTCGAAAACCCTTTTGTTGCTTTCAAAAGCATGTTGTAAGATACTTTCAAGAAGGGCGATTTTAATTTCAAAGATGATACTTGAGACAACTTATTTTTTTTCCTCCTATAAATTTGAGACAACTTATCGTATTTTCTCCCACTACGAACTGTGAAGTATACTATTAACAATATCAAAGACATTAACCCAAAGCCCCCAACAAAGGCAATAAGCACCTCCACAAGAAGAAGTCGTCGACCCTTGCACTTACATTGCTTGCCTTGTGAACTTGACAAACGAATAAGGCTATGAAGCTCATCATCACCAGGATACGCTCTACCAATCTTGTTATTTTCAAATTTTGTTACTGCATATTAACAACAGTACAAGAAAATTAAAATCTAGCTCTGCCTATTCAACAACAATACAAGAAAAATCTTACAAATAGAAACAAGTTAGACTAAACTTGAAAGATTGAGGGATGACTAATCTTCATGCCCCTGGTAACAACGTAAGTTTGCTAGTGTACTAGTCAAAACAAACAATTGAATTGAATATCTATCTATTTACAAATGTTGATAGTCTTTTAGTGAAAATTTAAAACTTCCAACATTGTTATCCTCTAAATCTATTTTTTTTTTTTTTTAGGAAAACACATTGAAGAAATAGATTAATCAAGGGTCAAATTGTCCGAGAGTATATAGGGAGAGACGTCTGGAGGACAATGGTTAATCCACACTTGTTCTACCCCAAAAGAAATCACCCTAGCAAGATGATGAGCTACCCTACACTAATTTAGCAATTAAAAAATTGTTACTTTTAACTTCCCACATTTCATTTCTTATTTGTATTAAAATAATATTTTATGTCTCAGATAAAACCCCTTATTATATATAATAAGAAATAGAGGTATTATAAAATACTTTAAATTAAACCTTAAATACAACAATTTTATGTACTGAATTTATTTTTATTTTTATTTTTAAAAAAAAAAACCTGAAAAAAATTAAGGCATATTACGTCAACGCATTGACTCTCAAGGTCTTGCGCAATGAACATTGACCAAGACATATCTCATAAAAATCTAAAATCATTACCTACTACACCGTTGACTCATTGACTCACGGTCGTATGCAATACTGTGCAAATTACATTTCCATGAAAATATCATACGGAAAAATAAGAAGGGGGGGGGGGGAGGCACTAACCGTAACGAATTTTACGACAACCTTCTCCGTCGATGAACCCATCACCGGTGAAACCCGGACGACACCGACACCGGAACCCAATTGTTCCGACATGACTACAATACGCATATTGATGACACCGGCACCTGCCGGTAAGCCACCAACCAACTTGAATTGCTTGAAACTCGACCAATGATAAATCCAAATCACCTCTAGCCACTGAATCATAAACAACAACTGACGAAAACAAAGTTTGGCATCTAGTACCAATGACATCTTCGTACCTCAAAGTAGTAGAATTCTCGGTAATATAACAACTAATATATTCACTCCTTCCTTTACACTTCGAAAATCTGCTCTCAACCAAGTTCATTAATGGAATTACACACTTGTTTAACGGCGTTACACAGTTTTGTAAAAGTAAACTATTTTGCGCAGTTAAAGCGTAATTTCTTCCGTAAAGATGATGTATTTGGTTGATCGGACGGCTGCAATTTGGAGAGAGACTTAGTAAAAAGGAGTTCCATGTTATGTTCATAATATCAAAACCTTGGAATTCCATTCTACCGTTGGACGTGCAATTCAGTCGAAACTCACAATTTTCGGAGAATCCGAAAGGGTACTTTACTGTTGTTCCGTTGCATGATCTGATGCATTCTGTTGGATTTGTTATCGCATTTGTTGTTGATATATATATGAAAGTGAAAAGTATCACTAGCATTGATATTGTTCTTTCTATATTTGTTGAGGTAGTTTGCATATTTCTTATGTTTGAGACTTGGGTTACGTACAGAACTAATAATGAACATGTACATGGATGGTTTTGTTAAGTCGTAATTTTGAACTTTCAATGTGAAATAATTGTGTTCCTAATATCATTTTTACGTGTTTTGAATTTAGTGAACAATATGTTTAATGTTACATCGAAAAGTCAAGTTGTCTCGTCAATTAATCCTAATGAGTCTATATTTATAAGCGGAATAATCACTTAAAGAAGACAAGAATAGCTAGATAAACTGTAGAAAAGTTCTTGCTTAATACACTACTATTCAAACATTTCAAAGGGAAAAGAAATGTTAATTATGGATGATTTAATTCCCTTATTCATCAATATCATACTGGATGTACTCTATTATGTCAAGATGGGTAGATGATCCATTGATAAATTTTTCGAATGGCCTAAATGTAAACTAAGTTCACACAAGTTTTAATATAAATCATTATACTAAAATAATGTTGGATGACGTGTGTATAGGTCCAAACAAGTATTTTCGTATATGATTATATGAATATTACAAGAGGAATATAGTCAATTTGACTAGTCTAAGTATTAATTTTATTGGCCTAAAAGGGACCAATTAATACGTGTACAATTGGTATTCAAAAAATAAATAAGTTGATTACTAAATAAAATAATTTGTCATGCGATTTAGTCCATTATTCTTTCTCAGACCTTTCAATATTTATATCTTGCATGAGGCGTTTTACTTTGTTCATGTCCCACATAATTGATGGAACTACTTTGAAAGTTCGAAATACAAATTATCATAGCAAAATCAACCTTGTTTTATAATCTTAGTCTCAAAATAAAAAAATGCTAACTACCTCAAAAACTAAAGTAGGAATCGTATTAATGTTAATGATTCTTACTTTCATATTACCAACAAAAGTGTTTCGGGTGAAAACAATGGGACCTTGCCGAAGGTCCGCTGAAATGGAGAAGGCTGGATTCGGTCCAAGTTATGTTGGGCCGAAGGTTTCCTGCACAGTAAACACACGTAAACTAGCCTCGGGGGTGTTGCCGAGGAAGGCCCCTCCGATGCTAAAGTCAGTACAATGTGTAAGAAGAGGACACTATGCAAGAGAGTTTGTTGCTTGAGGCTTTTATGGAATATATCCCAATATATGAATGAACATATGAATCTATATATGAATTAATTATGAATGTATCAATATTGATGGCTTTTATACCTCATCATACATGGAGAGGTTGGGCCTTAGCCCAATTGGCTTGCTTTGTGGGCTGACCTTTGACTTTAGCACAATTGGAGAGTTGAACCTTGACCTTGGGCTTTTAATTGGATCATTTAGTGCTTAGGCCCAATTGGACTAAATTGGACCCAAACAACTTGCCCCCTAGACCCGATTTGGAAGGATGACGGGTCGGGTTTGATTTAATTCAGAAAAGGAGGGAAGTAAATGATTTAATTGATCCAAAAATTTGAATTTAAACCGTAATTAATGAGATAACAACGGTTAAGGCAGATGATTGTGGAAGTTGGACGGATAATGGGCAGTTTAATCACAAGATCATGTGTTTAACGGTTACTTAGTGGAGTATTTAAGAGAAATTAAAACGCAGACTCCTCGTATCCCATTCCTGGAGATATAAACAGAGGCGCGTCATCTCTCCTCACTTATTCACCAACACAAACCCAGAATTCTCGAGAGAGAAACCAAGAACCCGCATCAAAACTTCGCAAATTCCCCGAGCATTAAGCTTAGAAACTGAGACTTGCCACTACGAACTCGTAAATCGGCAACTTTCGCTTCAGATTAAGGTAAATTCCTTTGATTTCAGTTTATTTTTCTTCGAATTCGAACTCCTTCCCCTTTTCTTTCGACTTTTTTCTTCGAAATAATCAATGGCAAGAGGAGTTAGAGGTAGAGCCCGTGCTCCAAGAAGAGCAAGGCCGATTCCCGATCCTAGGAACAGGATTGGGACCTGGAATGGACAAAGGCCAGAGTCTGACCCTGCTGAAGGGATTAGGGCGACTCCCCTTTCCTCGGCTCCTCCTCAGAGAACGGAGGAGCCGAGCGCTTCTGGACGGGATGATGAAGTTCCCGCTGTCCTTTGGGATATCCTCCCCGGGTTTTCAGAATGGGAGAATGCCGAAGTTGCTTCGGCCATGATAAAGAACCGCCCCTACCCATGGTGGGTGGAGAATGCCGATCAATATCGATTTGCCGAGCAAATTGAGTTGCATTACGGCATTTTTGAAGCTGATGGGTATTGGTGCCGAATGCCCTCGGCATCCGATAGAATCCATCGTCCACCCCCGGGGTATGTGGGGGTGTACACAAGACAGCTTCAGTAGGGCTGAGGTTCCCTTTGGACGTATTCGTCCGAGACTTGCTGATCCATTACAACATCTCTCTATGTCAGTTAACTCCCACCAGCATCCGAAGGGTGATGACATACTTATGGGTCTGCAAGTTCTTCAAGTATGTGCCGAACCTGCACTGCTTCAAAAATCTCCATCGGCTAGTGCCAAATATTCAAAGTGGGCACGGAAGCCATGGTTCTGGGTGGTACCGGATTGAGTCCCGGCCCCAATACCTAACCATGTGGCCAAACGACTCTTCAGACAAGGACTGGAGAGGTCAATGGATTTGGGTTAGGGCACCCACAGATCCGGGCCACCCTTGCGTCTTCAGCGCTCCCCGGTACCTCGCTGAGCCTGATCCCGAAATGGGAAGTCTAGGTCCCCCCGCAGATAACGGGGCGGATCCGAACCTTGATCAGCAACATATCTTCGGCAAGCTGCCGAACCGGGGGGGGCAGTGGCCGAATGCAGCATATCCCGGAGACTTGGCTCCCCGATACGCATTACGTTTTCCAAGAGAACATGCTAGCAGCTGTTGGCCTCAGCCGAAAGTTTAAGGATGGTAAGCTTCTTCGGCTGGGGCCGAGGCTTTTTAACTATCTCTTTTTCTTCTCTCGCTTCGCTTTTTTATGCTGTGCCAACCTATCTGAACTAACCTTTCCCCTTTCCTTTTTCAGAGCGGGACGAGACCAACGTTGGCATTAACTACGCTCGTCTTGGTGTCAACCGAGAACGAGTTGTAACTGAACGGGCCCCGTCTATCACTGAGCCGAGGCATAGGGAAGTTCATCTAGACTCTTCCCACTTCCAAATTGAGGCTGTTGCTCTGTATCAGAGGCAGAAGCCTTGGTGGAAGAAGAGAGACCCCTGGTTTCAGCTGCTGGACGAAGAAGCTGAAGCTGCCCGTACAGCCGAAAAGGTTGCACGGGTTCTCGAAGCTTGCGAAGGAGGAGAAGGGTCCTCCAGAGCTGCTGAAGCAGAAGCTGCAGCTAGAGCAGCTGAAGAAGACGAGGCTTTGCTGAAGACCTCGGTGAGCTTTCAGACTTAACTTTGTCTTTCTTTTTTCTTTTCTTCTTTTTTTTTTTTTTTTTTTTTTTTACTCACATTCTTCCTCCCCCCTGTCTGTTACAGTCTGAAGAGAGTAACAGACATAGAGAAGGGAAAGCTCCTGTTCGTCCCGAAGACCAAATACAAGGAGAGTCTTCAGACTCAGATATGGACGAGCAGCCCCTTCTGAAAAAGCGCCGAAGGATGGCCATCATCGGCCCTCATGACTTTCAGCGGAGGCCGATGACCATCGGCGTTGCAATAAGGGAACCCGAGGAAGGCAATGGATCGCCGAGGGTTCCCCGGCCACCACCCCAATCACCTCAAAAGACCCCTCCGCCACCTCCTGAGATGGAGGTGGATCAGAGAACTCCCGAATCTAAGGGAGTGGTCCAAGAAGAAATTAAGGAGAGTGCTGCTGAGCACGAAAACAAGGATGTCGTGATGTCCAGTGCTGAGGGCTTCACGGCAGACATCGCAAGAGAGGTTGAGGCTTTCGTCCTCACCCCTGAAGAAGAGGAGGTCATAGTAATTGACTCCTCTGAGAAGGATGATGCTGAGCCATCCAAAGCTAATCAAGCTCCATCGTCATCCTTCCCTTCCTTCCAGACTCTGCAATCTGGAGAAATGGGTTTCTCGGCCCCTCGAATTCCAATCCCAGACCACATCTGGGACCTCATATGGGGTCAGAACCGAGAAGGAGCTGCAGCCTACTTCGGCGATTTTGCTGGCATGTCCGAAGTAGATAGGGCAAGGATCTGGTCGCTGAAGGCCACTGCTGGGATGGGCGAATCCAGCAGATCAGTTCCTGACCCAGCCAGGTCTAACCAACTGCTGATGATGTATGTAATTTTCCTTGTCTTCATTTCCTCTGAAATTCAGCTCTATTTTTATTATTATAAATATATATATTTTTTTTTTATTTATTATTATTATTTTTTTGTCTTCCTGTTTTCAGTTCGTGCACAATCAGACTCTCACTGTAGAGCTGATAGATACCCTACAAGATAGGGTAGACGCTGCTGTGCACGACAAGAAGGTAGCTGAAGAGGAATTAAAGCTTGCTAAGCTGAAGCAAGCAGCAGCTGAAGAGAAGCAGCAGAAGGGTGAGGAGTATGAGAAAAGAGCTGCTGAAGCCCTCAAAACCTTCTGCGACGCTATGGAGAAGGAAGTTTTTCCCCCACTGATGGAAGGGGAAAAATTCCTCCAGGAGCATATG